GCTCTGCCAGCCTCGGCCGGTGGGAACGGCACGGCCCTGCCCTCGCCTCTGAAGCCGACAGGAATCGGGCTCCGTGGGTGTCGCGTCCCCAGAGCCCCTTTGCCGAGCCCTCGCTCGTTGCTTGAGTTGGCAGCGGTGCCGTTGTGAAAATAGCAACGGCTCCTCTTGGGAAAGGAGCAGATTTCTGAGTCCCATCCTCCCCGGTCCCGGCTCCCAAGGCTCTGCTCCTGCCTACGCTGACAAGAACCCTTAAAGCACCAGTGCTTTGAGTTACTGGTGAAAATCAGGGCCGGGGACAGGCAGGAAATCAGGAGGTGGCTTTTGAGGGCTGGAAAAGCAGGGACAGCTCCATGTCCTTCATGAAGCTTCTGCCTTGGTGCCTGACCCCTTCCCCCGGGCAGGCTGGGGTGGTCCTGGGGAGCAGCAACACCTCGGGCACTGAGCAGGGGCACAGCCCCCTCTCTGTGGCAGGATGCCACAGTCACCTCCCAGGGGCTGCCAGGAATCTTTCACTTGATATCCTCCAGGAACTGGAGGTTTGCTTCCTCCTCAGGGCTTGGCTGCAGTGAGGAAGGTGCAATTGCCACCCCATGATAGTCTGCTGGGAGATCTTTTCTGACCTAACTGGTTGTCACTGTGTGATTCTGTAAGAGATGTGTGTCCCATGGGTTGTGCTGTGTTATCTATACACATGTAACTGTACACACACATGAACGAGCATGTGTGGCTGTTTATCTTTTTTACAGTTATATGTGTATATATTTATCTATAGCATTTATAGACACACATAAAGCATGGAGGGGTAAAACCACCTTGGAGTGGGATCCGTGTTGGAGCACATAACAAACCAGAGCAGCTCAGAGAGGAGCAGAGTGAATAAATCCTATTTCGGGGTAACTTCTGTAGCGTGGTGGAGTTGCTGGTGTCTGACAAAGTCAGGTTCAAGTGGGGGTTTTCTTGTAGGAGGAGCCTCCCCTACAGACCCAGGGAGTTCTCACTGGTCCTTTCTTTCCCACTGTACTCCAACAGCATCTCCCCTTTATCCGCCTCCGTATTCCTGGAAAACTGTTGCATCTCAGTGTCTTTGAGAGCTCTGGACCCCTGCCAGAAACTGCTCTTGGAGCTGCTCTTGGGATCAGTCAGGCAGACACACAGGCCTGGAGTTTTTTGGAATCTTTTAGGTTTTTAACCCAGCCCCCAGATGAGCCTGAACTGCAGGAGTTGGCAGGTTGATGTCACTGCTCAGATCACGGAATCATGGAATGGTTTGGGTTGGAGGGACCTCAAAGCCCATCCAGTTCCACCCACCCACGTCTGAGCCACCCCCAAGGCTCTCCTGAAGAAGGGCTGTGATTGTGCCCTCAGCTCCTGGCACAGAAGGGCTGCAGGTCAAGGTGATTCCTGATACCAAGGAGTGTCTTTGCCCTGCCTGGAGGAAAGTAAATGACTTAGGATTTTCCCCAGTTCCCATAATTTACATGTTGCTTTTGCCCTGGAGCAGGAAGACGTTTGTCCTTGCTAAGCTTTGGGATTTATTGTCACGTTAGACTCTCAAACTGAGACTCTAATGAAGCAAAATCATATTAGGGCCCTAATAAATGCGTCATGGAAGAGCTGTGTGTTATTCAAAGATGAGCTGTGTTACATTTAACCCCCTGGCTCTCAGATCAGGCCCTCTGTGACCTGCATGTTTCACATCCTACACAAGGTGCAGAAAGACTGAAGCCACAAATACTCTTTTCCTTTAATTAGCTCTTGTTTTGCACATTTGCTGCTTTCTTCCACCCACCCAGCGAGTCCTTCTGTCACTGAGGGGGCTTGGGGACCCCGACAGCCTCTCCAGCATCTCTGCTGGGCGCTTTGTCACGTAAGTGTAGGAACCTGGAATGTGTGAGGCTCAGAGGTGTGCTGGATAATTCAGGTTGGAGACACTTCAGAAGATCTCTAGTCCAACATCAGCCTCCAGACAGGGCCAGCTGTGAGGTCAGATAGGGCTGTTCGTGGCTTTGACCAGTTGGGTCTTGAAAACTTCTCAGGATGGAGATGTGCAGCCTCTGGACAACCTGCTCCAGTGCTTGATGGGGAAACATTTCTCATTTTATCCAGTCTAAACCCCCCTTGTTTCAACTTATACCTGTTGCCTCTCATCCTCCTGCCATGCTCTGCTCTGAAGAGCCTGATGCAGCCTCCTTGGTGCCTCCCAGGAGGCAGGGGAAAGCTGGTGGTGAATCCCTGCACATCTTCCCTTCTCCAAGCTGAACAAGCCTTTCTCCTTGGTCTCTTACTCCAGAGCACTGCTCCAGCCCCACCCATCCCAGCGGGCTCCTGCTGAACCCCCCAGAGCAGACACTGCTGGATTTCCAGAAAGGCTTCACTCACCTCCTACTCTTGATCCCTGTGTAAAACCCCCACCATTTCCCACACCCCCCTGCCCTCCAATCCAGACCCAGAGACTTTCCCTGGACCCTCCCCAGGGCTCTGAACCTGCAACATCTTGTGCTTTGCCTTGTGTTTGCTTGTTATTGATAAATTCACAGGCACCACCCAGGTGGGGTTCTGCTCATCTCTCTGCACATCACAGTAGGATTGTGAAAGGAGCAACAGCTTGGGTGTGAGAGCCACTGCAAATCCTCCTTCCCATGGGGCCCATCTTCTGAGCTGAGAGCAGGAGGGGCTGAGTGCCTGATTCTCTGGTACATTTTACATCCTGGAACCCCAGAATTATTTGGGATGGAAGGGACCCCAAAGCCCATCCAGTCCCACCCCCTGCCATGGGCAGGGACACCTTCCACCAGCCCAGGGTGCTCCAAGCCCCGTCCAACCTGGCCTTGGACACTTCCAGGGATCCAGGGGCAGCCACAGCTTCTCTGGCCAACCTGGGCCAGGGCCAAGAAATTTTGCATTTGTTTCCAAGGTTGATTCCTAAATAAGAAGTATCAGAGTTAAAATGTCACCATTTTTTTCACCCAGTTGTCATCAAAAAGAAGTCTTAGCTTAGCAACTTGGTCTTGGCTGGGATGATCACAGAAAAGGCATTTGCACACTCAACAAAGCATCTCAAACTCTGGAATTTGGGGATGACTGTGGAGCAGTGTTGCTCACTAGGAAGGTTTTCTCTTCCATTCTGAAGTTTTTATTTTTTTTTCTTTTTCAAGAAAAAATGTCCATCCATTTCCTTCATTCTAGGGTTTAATGGATAAACAGGAGTGCAGTCATATTTGACACTGTGGTAGCTGTGCCAGTGTCCAAAGAGCACGTGGGTGCCCGCTCAGGTTGGAGGGGAGGTGGAGGGATGTGCAGCTTCTCTATTCAGTGCAGAGTCCGACTACCTGGAGTTTGTGTTGTTGGTGTGTTTTAGGTCTAGTCCATGCAAGAGCTGAGCTGGGATGGAGCAGGACTCACGTGCCACGTGGGAGTTCAATGGCTCCTTCCATCAGCCTTCAGCTTTCCTCATGCTGGGCATCCCAGGCCTGGAAGCCCTTCACCCCTGGATCTCCATCCCTTTCTGTGCTCTCTACCTCACTGCTCTCTTGGGGAACTGCATGATCCTGTTCATCATCAGGAGGACCCAAAGCCTCCACGAGCCAATGTACTACTTCCTGTGCATGCTGGCGGTCACCGACCTGGGCCTGGCGCTGTGCACCCTGCCCACCACGCTGGGGCTCTTCTGGTTCAACCTGCGCAGCATCGGCTTCGACGCCTGCCTCGCCCAGATGTACTTCATCCACATCCTGTCCTTCATCGAGTCCTCCGTGCTCCTGGCCATGGCCTTCGACCGCTTCATTGCCATCTCCCGCCCCCTGAGACACCCCTCCATCCTGACCAAGGCCACTGTCACAAAGATAGGCCTGGCCATCGTGCTCAGGGGGATGGTCTCCCTCCTTCCCATTCCCTTCCTGCTCAAGAGACTGACCTACTGCGGGAAGACGGAGCTGTCCCACTCCTTCTGCTTCCACCCCGACATCATGAACCTGGCGTGTGCAGATATAAAGGTCAATGTCTTCTATGGCATGATCATTCTCTTGTCCACGGTGGGGATGGACTTCATCTTCATCGTTCTGTCCTACATCCTCATCATCAAAACCGTCGTCAGCCTCGCAACCAAGGAGGAGTGTCTCAAGGCCCTGAACACGTGTGTGTCCCACATCTGTGCTGTCCTGGTGTTCTTCATCCCCATGATCGGCCTCTCCATGATCCACCGCTTTGGGAGGAACGTTCCCCCTCTGGTGAACACTTTGGTGGCCTACACCTACCTCCTCATCCCCCCCGCCCTGAACCCTGTCATCTACAGCATCAAATCCAGCCACATCCGCGAGGCTCTGCTCAGGGCCCTGCGCAGGACCAGTGGGGTTGACTGGTAGCTTCCCCCACCAGCTCTGCCACAGAGTGCTGCTGGACTGGTTTCTCAGTCAGGGACAGCAGACTGATTTCTTGGTCAGAGCTGGTTCACTGCTTTCTTGGTCATAGCTGCTGGACTGGCATCTTGGTCAGAGCTGCTGGACTGGTCTCTTGGTCAGAGCTGCTGGACTGGTCTCTTGGTCAGAGCTGCTGGACTGGTCTCTTGGTCAGAGTTGCTGGACTGGTGCCTTGGTCAGAGCTGCTGGACTGGTCTCTTGGTCAGAGCTGCTGGACTGGTCTCTTGGTCAGAG